TTTCTTTCTTTCTTTCTTTCTTTACTTACTTACTTATTTGTGTTGTTAATCTAAACACAAAGTACTTGGCAGATTCCTTATCACAACTTCAAGGTCTACAGAGCAGCAGCGTCAGAGACCGCCATGGAGGCAGGAGTGTCCTCCCTTGTTGCCTGGGACCTGTATTCTAGCCTCCAGCCCTTTGAATGCCACACTCGGGAGGAGGCACGGGTACCTGGAGCCCAGTGACCGCCATGGCCGGCAAGCCCAGGAGTCCAGGCTGCAGCCGGCAAGCCCAGGAGTCCAGGCTGCAGCCCGAGCCTTCAGAAGTTGGACCCACACAAATCTGTTCAGACTGAGCCGTTGTAGGAAGGAGAACTTGGAGCTGGCGTTTCCTGTCTGCAGAGGATCATGACTTTGGAGCATCCGGCGGCCACCGCGGGCTTTTCGAGGCTGCCGACAGTTTTCCTGCACAGCTCTTATCTTTCTTTTTTCTTTTCTAGGAAGAGGAGGTCATTGTTAATTTAGGGTGATTTTTCCAGATGAAAACCAGTGAGGGTTGCTTTCCAGAAAGTTTAGTCAATGTGTTTTTTCTAATCCTTCTTTAGGACCCCTTTTAATTTGAAAGAGGAGATTGCCATTACAAAAACTTTCATAGTTTATAGTCAATGTGTTTTTTCTAATCCTTCTTTAGGACCCTTTTAATTTGAAAGAGGAGATTGCCATTACAAAAGCAACGGAACAATGACAGAAAGGACAGCCCTTAAGATATGCAGATGAACAAGCACAGAAGAGTTAACAGTAAAGGGTCCCCTCCCAGTGTTCACAAATACTCGTAGGGAGAGAGACCTGTCGGGCCTGTCTCAACCTTTATATTTTTATGTATTTTATAGCTTCATCATGTCCTTCCATCTTTCCTCACACTTTCTTTTCTGTCCTTATTGATTCTCTCACACCCAGGATGCTTTGTACCTATATAGTTTATTTTCCCATTAAGAACAGAAAATGAGGGTTGGGGATTTAGCTCAGTGGTAGAGCGCTTGCCTAGCAAGCACAAGGCCCTGGGTTAGAGCTGGGGGGAGGGGGGGGAGAACAGAAAATGAATAATCTCAACTGTTTAGAGGTCAGTGTAAGGGACAATGTTCTTGAAATTCGTAAGAGTGTTCCGCTTTCGGCTGAGGTGAGAATCCAGCTTCCAGCCCTGTGGCTACAGGACGTTAGCCGTGAGGAATCAAGGTAAGCAGCATCAGGACCTCACCGGAAGATCAAGAGCAGAACTGAGAGGGAGTCTAGGCCCTTGGCACCCCTGGGCACATAGATGGGTGCTTTGGAGAGGATCGGGGCAGAGTCAACCTGGGCTTTCTAATTTGAAGGAAGGAAATGGGATGCTGGCCCCTGAAGAGGCTTGACCCAAGGATTCAGGCCTGGAGGTGAAAGAGGGTGGGGAATGCACATGACTTTATCATCAAAGGTGCTTGGATTTCAGGGTTTTGGATAAGGGATTGCAGACCCCTATTCTCCTCTGCTGTTTGCTTTGGCATCCACAGTTCCTCTACCTGGGGCTCCCTTCTGCTGGGTGACCTCATGGCTGTTTCCTTACATGCACCCCTAACCCAGCCACCTGCTGTATAGCCACAAAATCCTCTTCCTTATCCCTTCCCGAAATTCCCTTTTCTCTATTTCACTTATTACCATAGGACACATTTTCGGGAGATTGAGGGAGGGAGGTTGCAAGTTCTAGCCTACAGAATGAGTCCCAGGCCGCCCTGGGTGGCTTAGTGAGACCTTGCCTCAAAAATAAAAAGTAGAAGCCTAGTGGTGGTGCATGCCTTTAATCCCAGCTCTTGGGAGGCAAAGGCAGGCAGATCTCAGTGAGTTCAAGGCCAGCCTTGAACTACAAAGTGAGTTCCAGGACAGCAGGACTGTTACACAGAGAAACCCTGTCTCGAAAAACCAATCAATCAATCAATCAATCAATCAATCAGTAAATAAATAAGTAAATAAATAAATAAATAGTAGAAA